CATGGACAGCCAAAAGGACAAAGAAGTGGGTCCCAGAGCAGATCAAACCGGAAAACTCCCTGGAAACCAAGATGACCAAACTGAGACTGTTGTATTTCAGATACATCATGAGAAGAGAGGGCACTTTGGGGAAGGTGGAGGGAAGTAAGAAGAGAAGAAGGCCACGTGCTAGATGGATGGACTCTCTTAAGGAGCTCACGGGTATTAAGGGGTTGCAGGAATTAAGCAGACCAGTGGAGGACAGAGGGTCTTGGAGATGTCTCATCCATAGGGTCTCCATGAGTTGAGATCAACTCGAGGGCAGGCAGTTAACAACTACAAATAAGGTTGAATTTAGGATGGAGGACCTTCAAACTGATCTGCTATGTTAAGAAGAATGCAACTCCATCCAAACAGGTTGAACTCCATTTCCCTGGGCACATGAACAATGCAACCAAAGTATCTCAATTTTAATCCTGCATGCACATTCATGCATAGAGTTGTCCTTCCATTTTACCATATGCCAGCCACATCTTATGTTGGCTGCATGTGTAGCAGCATTTTCAAGGGCCTATAAACCTTTGACCTTTTGGTAAAATTTTATAAAAGTAACAGTTTGGTATATGAAGGGCTTGCTGTGGGTGTAGGGCCCTTGACAAGGTGTCCCGTGATATTCTTGCAAAAAAGCCAGGACAATGTGGGCTAAACAATGCAACCGTTAGGTGGTTTTGTAATTGATTGACCAACTGAAGCCAAAGGGTGCTCAGCAATGGCTCCTCTTCATCTTGGAGAGAAGAGACCAGTGGGTTACCACAGAGTTTTGTCCTATGCCCAGTGCTGTTCAACATCTTCATCAATGACTTGGATGAAGAAATGGAGAGCCTGCTTATAAAATTTGCAGATGACACCAAATTAGGAGAAGTAGCTAATATCATAGGGTACAAGATCAAAATTCAAAATAACCTTAATACATTAGAAAACTCTGGCAAAACTAACAAAATGAATTTCAGCAGGGAGAAGTGCAGGATACTACGCTTACCCTTCATTGTAAAAATAAAATCCACAGATATAGGATGGGTGATACCTGACTTGACAACAAAAGGGAGAGGCAAGGAATAAACATTTATCATGTTCATCCAATAACTACAGGGCATGAATTCCTAAATAATGGGTGGCAAGCTGCTAGCCCATTGCTATGTGTTTCATCTGCAAAGTTCAGCTGTGACTCAAAGGCTATATATTCTTCATTGCTAACATTTGACTTTATATCCTGATTCAGATATAATTAATCAGCTGTTTTAAATATAGCCGTGGGGATTAATTTAAACTCATATTGATAGCTGTCCCAGTATGTTACTAGTTCAACTGGACATTGCTGCTCACTCCCAAAATGAGAGTTTCTTGATGGCTGTTTAGATTATTCTTCTCACTAACCTCTTAAACATCTTAGTGGAGAAGATTATAAAGAGCTTTACAATCGGTTCCCCTTAGGATACAGAGGGGACAGCCTGTGCAGAATGAATCAGTGCCATATGTCAAGCAGTGTTTGTATATGCTTCAGTCTATCCAAGCACAGTCTTTTAACTTTCCATCCTACAGCCCGAGCTGTACTTTCCTGAATGTCAGCCAGGAAAAATCTTGTACATTTGGCAGTAGGACTGTGGGAAGCCTGGTTTTTAAGACCAGCCCAACTACTGTAGCAGAGGCTTTTATATATATATAAAGAACAGAGGATCCAAACACCTTCCTTTGTTTCTCTCTAAAAGGAGCATAAGTGGTGCTGCAAGATCCTAATCAGCATCCATTGTATAAGGTCTGGCCTTTCCATGCATGTACTGCATTCTTTGGCATGTCAACTTTTATTTTTTTATTTTTTTATTGTTCATATGGAAAACTAATTAGAATGGATTCATTTTTATCGGGCTGTTAATGCTTCAGTGCATGAACACTCTGCTGGCCTTCAGCCACATCTAGGGTTGTTGTGGAGATTTAAAAAAAACAACATTTTTTTCCTTTGTTCCCTTGGGCAATGCCTGACATATTAAGATAAAGTCACCACTTAAATGCTCTCCTTCTAAGTGAAAACAAATACGGCTTCCTTGTCTCATTAACTGGATGAAGTCAATGTCCTGGGTTGTTGTTTTATATACAAAAGTGTTAGCACTCTTCACGTGCAGCTCGCATCAAACCACAGCCTGGTGGTGGTACCTCATCTGGAATGTGAGGGGGAGAAGAACCTGACTGTCAAGTTTCACCTCATCTCTTGAGACTCTTGGAAACATCCTAGTGGCAAACAGAGTCATTTGCCAAATGTTTCTTTGAGAGGAACTCCCTCCTTTAGAGCTGGAATTTGGAGGAGAAAGAAGGGGGGAGCTTTGAGGAATTTCATAGCTAGGCCAACACTTTGGACTTACCTTGAGGGAACACCCAAGACATTAATTCCAACCATTACCAATGTATTAGTCAGCACAGTGGAATAGGTGTGTTGATGCAGGGAACTCCCATGGAAAGTGCAAACTCTCTTCCCTTTTTTCTTCAAGGTACAGGCTGCTCAGAGTCAAGCAGCCAGTGATTATATCAAGGCATGTTTTCTTCACCAACCTCCAAGCATGAAAAGGCCTTAATGGTGTGTGAGGTTTCTCTGTGGCCCCTGGCTTTAGGGGAAAAATTCTTATAACAAACAATCTCTCCCATAGCAACATAGCTACCACCCCCAGTAAAGAGAATGTGAGTAAATAGGAGAGGCAAACCACAGCATTGGGAACATCTCCAGAAGTTTACTGATGGTTATGAGGGGAAGTTTAAAAAAGAAAAGAAAGATAGCAACACATCTGCAGTAAGAGGATGACTGTTTAGGTCTTCAATTAGTTTCTAGGCTATAAAACATGTAGCTTAAGACTGCTGATGCCCAGAGCATACATTTCTGCTCCCTCTGATGCCATAAAATCCCTATTTTCCAAACTAAACAGACATTAAAAGGCCTTCTTTAGAAAAGAGCTTGAGCTAAGGAGCCAGTCATATCTCACAAGCTATTGAAGTTCATTATCTCACTTGTCAGGTTTGGTCTAGCCACAGTATTATAGCCATCAGCCATTTCCAAGGCTACAATCCTGTTACCTAATGTAACTGCTCTGGTGCCATTGTTAGTAGCAGCATAGGAGATGGTGCACATTTCCATGGGTGTAATGGCAGTGGTAGGTCAGCACATAAAGTTACTTCTGTCAAGAGAGAACCATTCAGAAGTTGGCAGGGCAACTTTCTCTGGCAACGGGGACAGCTTGTTCTTTTATTACCCCCATCCCATCCTTGCACCATGACATTCCAAAACATATTATACTAGAGTCAATCCCAAGAGGATTTTTGGCAAGTGTAATAAAAAGTGCCTGTTTTGAGGAAGCCTGCAGTGTCACCCCAGCCCCACTCAGGTGAAGTCCCCAAGTTTACAAAATGCTGAAGAGAATAGTTAGTCATGCAAATAGGAGATGGACCATTGGTGGAATGGTTTTATTTTAGGCATCCTGTCTATGGACTTTATCACACAGGGGAAAATCAGGGGAGAAACTGAGATTTAAAGAGCCATTATCCTATGAAAATTGTGCGATTGTGGGAAGATTTTCACATACATCGCGATTAAAGAGCCATAATCCTA